CTATTATACCGCCACGGTAGTCTAAACAGCCTGGTACTGGTACAACAACAGATACATAGACCAATGGAACAGATTTGAGAATCCAGACATAAATTCATCCGCCTGTGAGCAGCTGATATTGGACAAAGGCCCAAAGTCCATTAATTGGGGAAAAGACAGTCTCTTTAACAAATGGTGCTGGCATAATCGGATATCCATCTGCAAAAAACTGAAACAAGACCCATACCTCACACCACGCATGAAAACTAACTCAAAATGGATCAAAGACTTAAATACAAAATCAAAAACCATAAAGATCCTGGAAGAAAAACTAGGCACAATGCAAGGAGCCCTAATACATGCCATAAACACAATACGAACCATAAGTAACAATGCACAAGCACCAGAAGAGAGACTAGATAAATGGGAGCTCCTAAAAATCAAACACTTATGCTCATCATAAGACTTCACTAAAATAGTAAAAAGACAACCTACAGACTGGGAAAAAAATTTTTGGCTACGTCAAATCTGATCAGCATCTAATCTCTAAAATCTACAAGATACTGCAAAACCCCAACAACAAAAAGACAAACAACACAGTTAAAAAGTGGGCAAAGCATATGAACAGGCACTTCACCAAAGAAGATATTCAGGCAGCTAACAGACACAGGAAGAAATGCTCACGATTATTAGCCACTAGAGAAATGCAGATCAAAACTACAATGAGATGTCATCTCACCCCAACAAGGTTAGCATTAATCCAAAAAACACAAAACAATAAATGCTGAAGAGGTTGTGGAGAGACTGGAACACTTATACACTGTTGGTGGGAATGTAAAATGGTACAACCACTTTGGAAATCGATTTGGCACTTCTTTAGAAAGCTAGAAATAGAAGTACCATACGATCCAGCTATCCTGCTCCTTGGAATATATCCTAGAGAAATAAGAACCATCATATGAATAGATATACGCACACCCATGTTCATTGCAGCACTGTTCACAATAGCAAAAAGACAGAAACAATCTAGGTGCCCATAAACAAATTATGGTATATCCACACAATGGAATACTACGCAAAGATAAAGAACAACAATGAAGCTGTGAAACATAACATGGAGGAAGCTGGAGGTCATTATGCTGAGTGAATTTAGTCAGTCACAGAAGGACAAATATTGTATAAGACCACTATCATAAGAACTCAAGAAAAGGTTTAAACACAGAAGAAAACATTCTTTGATGGTTACGAGGGTGGGGAGGGAGGGTGAGGGTTATTTACTAACTAGACAGTAGATAAGAATTAGGTTAAGGGAAGGACAGCACACACTACAGGGGAAGTCAGCACAACTGGATTAAACCAAAGCTGAGAAGTTTCATGAATACAATCAAACACTTTGAGGGACAGAGTAGCAGGGGTAGGGGTCTGGAGACCATGTTTTCAGGGGGCATCTAGGTCAATTGGCAACACAAAGCTTATTAAGAAAATGTGCTGCATCCTGCTTTGGTGAGTGTCATCTGGGGTCTTAAAAGCTTGCAAGCTGCCATCTAAGATGCATCAGTTGGTCCCAACCACCTGGAGTAAAGGAGAATGAAGAACACCAAAGACACAAGGAAAGTATTAGCTCAAGAGACAGAAAGCGCCACATAAACCAGAGACTTCATCAGCCTGAGACCAGAAGAACTAGATGGTGCCTGGCTACCACCAATGACCGCCCTGACAGGGAACACAACAGAGTCCCTGATGGAGCAGGAGAAAGGTGGAGTGCAGAACTCAAATTCTAGTAAGAAGACCAGACTTAATGGTCTGACTGAGACTGGAGGAACCCCAGAAAGCATGGCCCCTGGATTCCCTAACAGGCCAGAACGAAAACAATTTCCGAGGCCAACTCTTTAGACAGGGATTGGACTGGACTGTGGGACATGAAGTGATACTCATGAGGAGTGTGCCTCTTAGCTCAAGTTGATACAAGAGACTAAACGGGCAGCTTCTGTCTGGAGGTGAGATGGGAAGGTGGAGAGGGTTAGGAGCTGGTTGAATGGACATGGGGAATCAGGGGTGGAAAGGAGGAGTGTGCTGTCACAGTATGGGGAGAGCAATTAGAGTCACATAACGATGTGTGTATACATTTTTGTATGGGAAAAAATAAAAAAAAAAAGAAGTAAATGAGAGGCAAGTGTTAGCTGGAATGCGAAAAAACTGGGACCCTTAAACATTGCTGGTGGGAACGTAAAATGGTGCATCCACTTTGGAAAACAGTAGGCGGTTCCTCAAAAAATTAAATATAGAAGTACTATAAAAAAACTGTTGTCATCAAGGCAATTCCGACTCACGGTGACTCCATGTTTACAAAGTATAATTGAGCTCCATGGGATTTTCTTGACTGTAATCTTTAGGAGAGCAGATTGTCAGGCCTTTCTTCCACAGTCCCACTGGGTGGGTTCAAACTGTCAACCTTTCGATTAGTAGTCAAGTGTAAACCGTGTGTGCCACCCAGGGACCTGGAGGTCCTATACTCAAGAGAATTGAAAACACATGTCCACACAAAAACTTGTGCCCCAATGTTCATAGCAACATTATTTTTAATGTTCAAAAAGTTGAAACAAGCTAAATGTCCATAAACTGTTGAATGGATAAACAAAATACAGTATACCCATACAATTGAATATTTTTCACTTATGAAAAGGAATGAAGTACTGATACATGCGATAAAATGGATGAACCTTAAAAGTTTATGCTAAGTGAAGGAAGTCAGACACAAAAGGCCACATACTATATTATTCTGCTTATATGAAAGTCCAGGGTAGGCGAATCCATAGAACAAGAAAGCAGATAAGTAGTTGGCAGAAGATGGGGAGAGAGGACAACGGGGAGTGACTGCTAACGGGTACAGGAGTCCTCTTTGGAGTGATGAAAATGTTCTGGAATTAGATAGTGGTAATGGTTGTGGAACTTTGTGAATATACTAAAAACCGCGAATTGCATACTTTAAAAGAGTAAATTTTGTGGTGTGTGGATAATATCCCAATGCGAAGAAAAAAAAGAAGGGAATGAGAGTAGTGAGTGGTCAGTCAGCACAGTCTCCTGCATGTGGGGGATGTTAGTTCTCACCCCCATCTCATGGTAGAAGGCTTGGGGGGTGGTCTGTGACTTCATCTGCTCACCCTATTCCCATCCTCCTGCAGCCCACATTGCTGAGGACACCTCGAGTCTTCTTCAGCAAGTGAAGTTCCAGTCCAGCAACTTTGAAAACATCCTGACGTGGGAGAGTGGGCCCGGGAGCACCCCAGGCACGGTCTACAGCGTGGAGTATAAGACGTAGGCTTCTCTCTCAGCTCAACTCTACCCTGAAATCAAACCCTCTAGGGAAATCCCCTCATTCCACAGTCCCATTGATCTACCTGGACTGAAGCCACACTGCCCCTCCTAGATGGAGCTCTGCTCCTTTCTGTTTCGTTTGCAGAGGGAGGATAAAATAACGGTTAAAAGTGTAGGCTCTCAAGTCACACTGCCCCCCTCAGATGCCACTCTAGCTAGCCTGTGTGACCTTGAGCGGTCATGTAACCTGGCCAGTTCTCAGTTTCCCCATCTATAAAATTAGGATAATGATAGTACCTTCATCATAGGGTTGTTAGGTGGGTTAAATTAGATAAAGAAAGCAGTTAACACTTGAGCCTAGCACGTAATAAGCTATCGATAATTGTTTTATTACTATTGGCAAGATTGGGACATCAAAAAGTTGTACCCACCCTCCACTCTCCCAGGCTGCCCCCTGCCACTGCATCCAAGCCCTGTTCTTGTTCTTTCTTCCCATGGATGGGGGAAGAGGGTTGGCATGGGCTCAGGAGTCTGCAAACCTGGGTTCCATTCCTGGTCCTGCCACTTCACCCTGCGGCAAGTCACTTCCACTCTCTGAGCTTCAGTTCCCTCATCTGTAAAATGGGAATAATGATGCCTGTCTCAAAGGATTATGGGGAGGATGAGCTCAGACTATGGAAACAGACTGGCTGGGTTCAAATCCTGATTCCCCACATGCATATTTTAGATACTTGGGCAAATTTTACTCCTTTGAGCCTCAGCTCCCTTATTTGAAAGAGGGAGAATAATAGATTAAACTCACAGGACCGTTGTGAGGACTGATTGAGATCATCCACCTAAAGGGCCTGGGACACAGACATGCTAAGTAAACATCTGATATCATAATCATTATTAATAAGTCTCAGGCCTAGAGCAGGGCCTGCTTATGAAAGGTACAGCCTCACCCCTCCCTCCCCTGCAGGTATGGAGACAGCAAGTGGCTGGCAAAGGCGGGCTGCCAGCAGGTCACCCGGAAATCTTGCAACCTGACTGCTGAGACAGGCAACCTCACTGAGCTCTACTACGCCAGGGTGACCGCCGTGAGCCCAGGGGGCCAGTCAGCCACCATGATGAGCCACCGGTTCAGCCTGCTTCAGGACAGTGAGTGAGAGGGGAAGAGAAGAACACAGGGGCAGACAGGTCTCTTCTCTGGAGAGGGTGGGTGCAGGGGCCAGAGTGGCTCTGCCTCCCTGGAGCAGTTATGGAGGCGGCTTTTAGGGAAGGCACCTCTGGCTTCAGAGCATCTCCAGGGTGTCGCTCACTTTTCTCCATCTCCACCACCTCCCTGGTTCCCACTGTCCTCATCTCACCTCATGACCGCAGCCACAGCCCGACTCATTTCCCGCACTCCCTCCTTGACCTCCTCCAGCCCATTCTCCACGGAGCATCAGAGAGCTCTTCTCTAGCCATAAAGTGGACCCTCTCTCCCCTGCTCAAAACCCTCCAATGGCTGCCCAGGCTCTTAAAGTAAGATCCAACTCCTTGCGGTGGCCTTCAAGGCCCTGCCCATCTCTCTATCCCCGTCTTGGCCCCTCTCCTTGCTACATGGATCCTGGAACACACCAAGCTCTTTCCTGCCGCAGGGCCCTTGCAGCTCCCCCAAGTCTTTCCCTTCCCGGCTCTTCACGTGACTCTTTTCCAATCCTTAGGTGTCAGCTCCAGGTCACTCCTAAGTGAGCGCCCCCACCCCCAGCCCTGACATCCTGATTTCAGTAGACCACCACCTGTCATTATTTTCTATCCAAATAACATTTTTCATTCTCTTTATAGCACATATTGCAATTTGCAATTATTGTGTTTGCTTACGTGTTTATTAAACGCCTCCTCCACTAAAATGTGAGCTCCGCGAGGGAGTGTGTGGGCTGTGGAATCCACTGTCCTCCTTGCTCTTAGCACAGGGCCTGGCACATAGAAGATGTTCACTACATAATTGTTAAATGAATGAATGAATCACTGAGCAAGTATGAGCTGCCAAGCTCCACATACAAGCTAAACAGGTAGGGATGTTCACCAATTGACTTAAGAGTCACATTATTTTTTAAGAAAGTAGAAAATATAATTAAACACGTTATTGATTTTTTTTCCTGGCTTGTTTAATTAACACTGGTTCATTGTAGAAAATATGGAAAACATAGAAACACACAAACAATAACAGTCACCTAGAATAACCTGAACATTCGAATATCACCAAAGTTACTAGCAACTGTAGCTAGTATTTTATAATCTTGTTTGCCCCGTGTAATGGTATCGTGAACATCTGCCCGTCATTAAATATTTTTCACAGCATGAGATTTCACAGCTGTAAAAAGAGTCATTCTACAGGCACTCTAATTTCCTTACCTCATTCCCTTTGTGGGGACAGTTAGCTCAGTTTGTCAGTTATGTAAAGAACACTGAAGTGAACATCCTTCTAGCTCATATAGTTTGAATCTTGGTGGTCAGTTGATCCTAGAAGAATTTTTAGAAATGGTTCAGGGGAAGAGGACCTTCGTGAATCCCTGAAATTGGACGCAAGATTTTTGTATATGCACATTTTTAGAGAGGAGATCCACAGCATTCATCAAATTCTCAAAGGGATTTGTAAACCAGTAAAGGTCATTGGGTTATTTGGAAAATTCCATCTTGAGTGAGATTGAAGTCTGGTCTTTGAGGCTGAATTGAAAATATTGGTCCCCCCAAGCATTATTTAGGATATATTGTTGAGTCATCTGTCCCCAAAGCTGTTGCTGACAGCAGAGAGGAAGGGCTGTCCAGGGCAGCCTCAGGAGGGAACAGAGGGCATGAGATGTGTAGGGGTACATGCAAGGGCATGGTCAACCTAAGGGACCAGCACCGCTTATGCTGGGCTCCTCCCTCCCACCCTTGGTCATCCTTTGCCAGCCTTAAACCCAAACACCTGCTGCTTACAGAACTTTTCTCTTTTCACCTGTTTGTTTGGTGGATGCTTTTAGGAGCGTAGCTGGGGTTGGGGTGGGCGGAGAGCAGGGTAGTCATTTCCCATCACCCAGGGCAGCTTCAGAGACTGACGGCCTACTCTGACTTTTTCTTTTCTCTTTCTGCTTTTCCAGCTACCATCAAACCTCCTGATGTGACCTGTATCCCCAAAGTGAGATCTGTCCAGATGATTATCCATCCCACTTCCACACCCATCCATGCAGAGGATGGCCACCAGCTAACCCTGGAGGACATCTTCCAGGACCTGTCGTACTGCTTAGAGCTCCAGATCAACCACACCTACAAAATGGTAAATGTGGGTTGTGCCCTGATCCTTCCCTGCCTGGGAAACCCCTTTCCCACTCAATTAGGTCAGAACTGCTTTAAATAGAAGGGGACATGTCATACAAATTAGCATTTCCCAAAACGTGTCCCATGGGAGGCTCCCTGAAGCCTGGCAAATATCACAAACCACAGCCTCCCTCTTGTAGATTCAGTTGCTAAAGGTTCTGAGAAGTCCTGCAGAGCCAAGACTCCAGTTTCAGTTTGTTTAACACAAGTTCTCTCCAACTTATTTGACCAGAGACTCTCCTTTTTTGGAATCATATAGATTTTTTTTTTTCCCAATACCTATTAACATCCAGGGGGAACAATCTCTATTAACATCTTCAGGTGCCCACTCTGGCAAATGTTGGAATCAATTTCTACTGCTGTAGGTCTTTTTGTTGGTTCTCCATTATTTGTGGGAAATGGATACAGGCAGCATCTTTTTTCTTATTTCTTAAAAATTGTTCTTTTTATGGTAAAAAAAAAAAATACATAAAAAAACCGTTGCCATTTCAATCTTTTTTACATGCACAATTCAGTGACAGTAATTACATTTACCATGTTCTACAACCATCATCACTATCTGTTTCCAGATCTTTTCATCTCCCTTAACAGAAACTCAATGCCCCTTAAGCAATAACTGCCCTTGAAAATTTATTCTTTTAACGAAAAGAAAAATCACTACCATAAAAGAGCGAGGTGTCAGGAGGGCTGAATTCTATCTCCAGTGTTTTCCCTACCTTGGTTCCGGGACACTTGATAAGATACTACTTAGGCTGGACCTCCTTTCCTCATGGGTAAAATGAGAATCAAGGCATCCCTAAAATTTCTTTAAAAATTGAAATTCTGTGGCTCTATGAAATGCTTAAGGAGCTCTGGTGGTGCAACAGTTAAGCACTTGGCTGCCAACCAAAGTGTTGGCAGTTTGAACCCACCCAGCACCCCGAGAAAAACCCAGTGATCACAGCCCCCCAAAAAACATGAGGCAGCTCTATTCCGTTACACGGGGTCACCATGAGTCAAAATTAACTTGACGGCAACTAACCACAAGCCAAACCATTGCCACTGAGTTGAATTCCAATTCATAGTGGCCCCATAGGACAGAGAAGAACTGCCCTCATAGGGTTTCCAAGGCCGTAAATCTTTACTGAAGCAGACTGCTGCATCCCTCTCCCTTGGAGCGGCTGGTGGGCCCAAACCACCAACCCTTTGGTCAGCAGCTGAGTGCTCAACCACAGTGCCACCAACAACATCAAATGCTTGCATTTTGAAGTGTCTGCACATAGTAACCCTTTACAGGCAGCTTCTTAAAATGAGTAATAATGACGGGTAGAAGGCTCGGACGTAGATTATTAACAAATGATGTAAAAGTCACTTCCTTTTGTATTAAAAAAAAATGTGGAATTTTTACCTTGGCATGTGCCACTAATCCATAATTCCACGGAAGGAATATTTACTTCAGGCTTGCTCTGAGATTCCTGCAGTCCAGGAGTTTATAATCTAGTGGGTGAGGAGGGAGTTAAAACAAGAATGCAAATATCTATAGGTAAAGGAACATAAGAGTATTTTGAGGGGAAATGATGTCATCTTTCAGAAAGTTTTCATAATTGATGCTGATATCAATTTCTGATCACTTACTGTATACCACGTAATGTATGCATGTTATGTCATTTAATCTTCATTATAGCCCTGCGAAGAAGGTGCTATTCTCTCCATTTTTCACATGAAGAAACTGAGGCTCAGAGAGGTTAAGTCACTCGCTCAAAATTGCTCCGCAAATAATAATGTAGCCAGGATTCAAATTCAGCTCTGTTCAAAACCTACATTTTCCCACCACTAGTCTACTCTGTTCCACAATGATCACAGAGGGAAGCAGGAAAACTTAGAACATTTCTGGAAAGCACAATTTGGCTGGAGCATAGGGACATGTTAAACAATTGCTCAAAATATGGTCCCAAACCAATTTCATCAGAACTCCTGCAACACCTTCTTTAAAATGCAGGTTCTTGGGCCCCCTTCCAACCTACTGAATCACATTTCTACAGCTGCATCCCTGGGGTCAATTGTGTTGACGATGACAGCAGCAGCTGGCATTTATAGAGTAAGGCCCCTGGGTGGCACAAACGGTTTGCTTTTGGCTACAACATAAAGCTTGGAGATTTGTACCCACCCAGCAGTGCTGTGGAAGAATCTGCTTCCATAAGGATTACAGCCAAGAAAACCCTATGCAGCAGTTCTACTCTGTAACACATAGGGTTGTCATGAGTTGGAATCAAGTTGATGGCAACTGGATTGGTTTTATTTATTTTTTTTGTACTATATGCCAGGCACAAGGAGCCCTGGTGACGCAGTGGCTAAAGTGATCGACTGCTAACTGAAAGATCGGCTGTTCAAAACGATCAGTGACTTCAGGGCAGAGAGATGTGGCAGTCTGCTTCCGTAGAGATTTACAGCCTTGGAAACCCTACAGGGTCACTATGAGTCAGAATCGACTTGACGGCAGTGGGTTTAGTGGATATGCCAGGCATTGTTCTAAGTGAAAGTATGTGGAATTTCATGACTGGTTCGATGTGAGGATAAGCAGAAGGTAGAAGAATAGGAATGGAGAACGCAGACTGACCCAAGGTTTCTGGTTTGGGAGCTGGAGGTACCATTTTACTAAGCATGATAACCCAGAAGGAGGAGTGAACAGACTTTCTGGGGTCTATATGGAGATTGGCATGTAAAAGAAATCACTTTCAGTTCTCTGTCACATGCAGCACCTTAGAGGGAACCAGAGAGAATACGAGTTCCTTGGCCTGACCCCTGACACGGAGTTCCTTGGGAATATCATGATTTTTGTTCCAAACTGGTCCAAGGAGAGTGCCGCTTACATGTGCCGAGGGAAGACACTGCCAGGTAAGTAGCTGAAGCCAGACGGAGAAGGAAGTCCTGAATTCAAGTGTTGACTCCCCTCTTTCCTCTCTGTAACCAAGGTGAAGCTGGCAGTGCCCTGGAAAGCTATGGGAGGATTACTAGTGTTTTATTAAGGTTAATCTTTGTTTATACATAAACGAGTTAGCTGACAGGTATGGCAGCAAATGTTTAATCTGCACCTTCCAACCTATATCTGGATTTCCTCTCTCTGGCAAGCTTCGTGTGTACCCTGGCAAAGCAAATTCACCTTAATATTAACCCAGGTGAGATATACTGGCGGGAGGGGGGACAGAATCTGCAAGGGAGAGAGCAGAGAGGATAAAAAGATCTCTCAATATCTTCCAAAGCCAAATAATAATATGGTGAATATAATAAATAGCATTTCGGCAGTGCTAACCAGGACTATGAGTCAGAATCGATTTGACAGCAACAGGGTAATGGGGAACCAGGACTATATAGTATTAGGTGTCCCTGAGTTTCACAAACGGTTAACGTGCACAGCTGCTAATCAAAGGGTTAGAGGTTCGAGTCTGCCCAGAGACATCTCAGAAGAAAGCCCTGGTAGTCTCCTTCTGAAAAATCAGCCATTGGAAACCCTATGGAGCACAGTTCTATTCTGGCACACATGGGGTGGCAATGAGTTGTCTCAGCAGCAGCTAGAACCAGGTACCGGGCACTACCAAGCACAATCCTCATAAGCAGTCTATGAAGTAGGTACTATTATCATCCTCATTTAACAGATGAGGAAACTGAGGCTCAGAGGGGTTAAGTAACTTACCCAAGGTCACACAGCTGGTGAGTGGTCGAGCCAGGGTTTGCGCCAAAGCAGCCTAATTCCGAAGACCATGTTCTCACCACTGTGCTACTATAGAAATAGTTCTGAATCATCTGCTTGGTGAGACGATGTCCCATTCTCCCTTCCTCTGCACACGAGGCTGAAGCTTGACTCCTGTCATAAGCATCATGATACTTTTATTAGTGCTTACTTCATAGACAGATAAAAACATTGTCATGCTCAGAGCTGTAAGTTTACAGGATGAAAGTGATAGCAGCAGATTGGATGGCTTTAGAAAAACAGTCTCGACCTTAGTCATCATATTCAGATTAATGATGTCACTGGGTGATTTCTGTTCCAACTGTGTCAACAGTTGTTGTTGTCAGGTGCCATGGAGTCAAATTCAACTCACAGAGACCCCATGTGACAAAGCAGAACTGCCCCATAGGATTTCCTAGGCTATAATCTTTACAGGAGCAGATCGACAGATCTTTCTCCTGAAGAGCCACTGGGTAGGTTCAAACCGCCAACCTTTCAGTTAGCAGCCGAGTGCTTACCCATTGCACCACCAGGGCTCCTTGCCAACATTCAGAACAGAATTGAATTTGAGGCTGGACACAGCACCTGGTATGGTGGAAAAAGGAGTACCGCATGAGGAGTGAAGAGGCACGTGGAGGAGTTAGTCTGGAATCAGCTAGCTGTGCGTCCTGGGGAAGTCACTCAGCCTTTCGGGGCTGATCCTTCTTCTGACAGAGGGGGCAGAGGGGATGAGGGGTGGAGGTGCAATGCAGGAGCTCCAGTGATGAGCAGAGGCTGGGCCCTCCGGGGCAACTGCAGCTGGGCGGAGTCTGTAGAAGAGTCTATACAGCAAAGGCGACAGGTCCACTTTGAGCTTTTGGCCTCTCTTCTAGACCACACCCTGGGCACCTGGGACCCCCAAACCCCTGTGCAAATAGCTCAAGCCTGCATCCAGTCTGTGCAGACTTCTTCCTGGGGTCCTTCCTCCCGAGGACAGACATTTTGCTGAGTGCAGACTCTTGGCCCAAAGGGTAGCCAATGGGTAGCTATACATGGGGCATGAGTGACCTCAGCTGTGGGATCTGGGCCAGGCTCCTGGCAGTGTGAGATGGAGCTGGGGTGGGCTCGGGGACTCTCAGGGGTTCTCCTTGCACCTCCATATTTTGGCACAGTACTCCAAGGAGTCCAAGAATTCTAAATTCAAACCTGACCTTACAGGTTGTTACGGAGAGTGTATTTGTCAAAGTGGGAACATAGAACATGTTTTATTTAATAAAAGTGTAAAAGCATGATTTATAGGTTCTGAATATTTAGAGGAAATACTGGTGGTATAGTGGTTAAGAGCTATGGCTGCTAACCAAAAGGTCGGCAGTTCGAATCCACCAGGCGCTCCTTGGAAACCCTATGGGGCAGTTCTACTCTGTCCTGTGGGGTCGCTATGAGTCGGAATGGACTTGACGGCAATGGGTTTGGATATTTAGACATAAATATGGTATGTGGATTAGGTCCCTGGGTGGCGCAAACTGCTTGCTATAGACTACTAACAGAAAGGTTGGTGGTTTGAACCCACCCAGTGGCGCCATGGAAGAAAGACCTCGAAATCTGCGTCTCTAATGGTTACAGCCAAGAAAACCCAATGGAGCAGTTCTACTCTGTAACACATGGGGTCGCCTTGAGTTGGAATCGACTCGACAGCAACTTGTTTTGTTTTGTTTTATGGTGTGTGAGCCTCTATAGGTGACCTTGCCCTGGCCCTACAAATATTGGGGTGGGAGAGGCTCCCCAAGCCTCACCTGCGAGGGCGGGTTAGGAAAAGCCCCGAGTCTGCAGCACTCACACTTGGGATCCAGCCCAGACCCAGACCCTAGCCTCACCCTTCATTCTCTGACCTCTTGGCTCACCCAGATCGAACATGGACCTACTCCTTTTCGGGTGCCTTCCTGTTCTCCATGGGCTTCCTGGTCGCCGTGTTCTGCTACTTGAGCTACAGATACATCACGAAGCCGCCACAGCCGCCTGACTCCCTGGTGAGCAGTCCCAGCTGGGTCGGGAGGGAAAGGTCCAGGAAAGGCCCTGGAGCAGCCGGCTCTTCATCAAGTGTGCAGATCAGCACACAAAGCAGAAATTAGGTCTCATTTCTCCCCTTGAGGAGCTCACAGTCCAACCTAGAACCGGCAAAAGCGTGGTCTGCGGGTCCTGGAGTGTGTTGCAGAGGGGCAGGGGGTCGGGAATAGTGGAAGTGGAATAGAAAATCGACGCAGCTTGGAAGCGTGCAGGGCCTGGCAGGCACCACGGCCACTGAGTGAGTAGGCTGCCATCACAGGTGGAGAATGCGGAAAGGTGGGGGCTGTGGTGAGCCGCGGCCTTGTGCCCTGTCTGAATGGACAGCTACGTGTGGTCACAGGGGAATGCAGGCCCGGTGTTGCCAGATCCTTCCCTTTTTTCAAGAGAAGTCAGTATTTCAGATTGTAATGTGAAATCCTCAATTCTCAAATATTGGCAACTGATTTAAAAATGTAAAGTCCTATGCAAGCCACACAGATCACACCAGCTGCCCCTCTCTGGCGGCTGGTGCTGCCTCAGCTAAAGTGTGAGGCCCCAGCAGAGACGAGAGCAGTCTGGGCACCTGGCGCCAGCTCTCCCCCATCCGAGGAACACAGCAGCTCTGAGGGCGTGTTGCTCAATGTTACAGCCCAGAGGAGCCATTTCCTGTAGAACTCTCCCGCCTCCCCTTAGTCCCTTCCTTTCCCACCTTGTCCGCTATCAGGCCCTGGGAGCTGGGAGCCAAGGAGCAGTGTGGGCCCCGCCTCAAGTGTACGCTCCGAGCCAGCCCAAATCTGGCCTCTCCTTTCTGGATTAGGTACTTCCTAGAGGTACTGGGGAGTCCTGGTGGTACAGTAGGGCTCTGGTGGCCCAGTAGTTAAGTGCTATGTTTGCTAACCAAATGTTGGCAGTTCAAATCCATCAACTGCTCCTTGGAAACTCTATGGGGCAGTTTTACTTTGTCCTATAGGGTTGCTATGAGTTGGAATCAACTTGACGGCAACAGGTTTGGTTTTGGTTTGGTGGTGCAGTGGTTAAGAGTTTGGCTGCTAAACCAAAGGTTGGCAGTTCAAATCCACCAGCTGCTCCTTGGAAACCCTATAGGGCAGTTCTATTCTGCCCTACAGGGTCGCTAGGAGTCAGAATCAACTCGTCAGCCACAGGGTTTCAGAGGTACTGATGAGGCCGTGCTCGTTCAGTGCTAAAATTCTCAGCTTCCATACAGGAGACCCAGGTTCAATTCCTGGCCAATGCATCTCATGCACAGCCACCACTGTCTGTCAATGGAGGTTGCATGTTGCTATTATGCTGAACAGGTTTCGGCGGAGCTTCCAGACTAAGATGGAGTAGGAATAAAGACCTGGCTATCTACTTCAAAAAATCAGCCATTGAAAACCCTTTGGAGTACAATGGTCCAAGCCCATTGTTCATGGGGCTGCCATGAGTTAGGGGCTGAACAGCAGCTAACAATAGCAATAAGAGAAACCAGAGCCTAAATCTCCCCTCCCTAAGATAACCCGGACTCTAGATGTGGCCCTTACCTAAAGGCCTGGGAACCCCTGTCCCTTCCTAGAGGCCCCAGCATTGAGAGGATTCCAGAAAGCAAGGGGGATGTGGAGTATCTATATCATGAAAAAGCCCCCCAGATACCTCCCCATGGGGACTTTACTCACATCGCCATCGGGGCTTTGAACGTGACCTAATGAGGTGGACTGTTGCCCCCACACAGAATGTCCAGCAAGTCCTGACCTTCCAGCCACTGCGGTTCATCCAGGAGCACGTCCTGATCCCCGCCTTGGACCTCAGCAACCCCAGCGGTCTGGTCCAGCCAGTCCAGTACTCCCAGGTGAAGGTATCCGGGCCCTGGGAGCCCCCAGGAGCCCCACAGCAGCACGACCTGCCTGAGACCACCTACTTCCAGCAGCCAGACATCTCCGTCCTCCAGCCCCACAACGTGCCACCTCACCAGACACTCTCCCCACTGTCCTATGCCCCACAGGCTGGCCCTGAGGCCAGGCCCCTATCTTACGCGCCTCAGACTACCTCCAAAGCTGAACTCCCATGCTACACCCCACAGACACTCTCTAAGATCCCATCTCCCTCCTATGCCCCTCAGGCCACTCGGAACAGCTGGCCTCCAACCTATGGGGTGTGCATAGAAGGCTCTGGAAAAGATCCCCTGCCTGCGGCACTCTCTACTCCCAAACAACTCAAGGCTAAAGGTCAGCTCCAAAAAGAGGTTCCAGTCAGAAGTTACATCCCAGATGGCCCTTCTTTGCAGGCCATGACCTCCCTGGCTATGGAGGAGACCCAAGAAGCAAAACCATTCCACCAGTATCTGCAGGTTCACATGGACAAAGCACCTGACCTGAATGAGGAACCAGGGATGCCAGGGTACCTAAAGGGCCAGCTCCCCCTGCTCTCCTCTGTTCAGATTGAGGGCTGCCCTATGTCCCTCCCTTTGCACGCTCCTTCCCCCCCATGTTCCCACTCAGGCCAGGGTCCAAGTCCCTGGGGCCTGCTAGAGTCCCTTGTGTGCCCCAAGGACGATGAGAGTCCAGTGTCCAATACAGAGACCAAGACCACAGAACCTCAGGCCCCAGACCTGGAGCAGCCTGTTGAGCTGGAGTCCCTTTTCAGAGGCCTGGCCTTGACTGTGCAGTGGGAAGCCTGAGGGGAGAATGGTTGGTGGAGGGCTTGCCTCCCTGTCCCCGCTGACCTCACATCCTCTGTCGACACGCCCAACCGTGCGCATACTCTGCGGCCCAGCCCCAGGCAGGCACCCTTGAGAGAGCCAGAGTGAGGGGACACTGGGCCCCTGCTGTGGTGAACATCCCCTCAGAGCAAAGAGATGTGATGAGGAGCTACAGGTGGGTGTGTGGCATGTGCAAATGAGCATGCGCACAGGGACCTGCAGGGCAGGACGGGACAATCAGAGCATAGGGAGTTAATACAGGGAGACATCCCAGAGATCCAGGCCTCAGCTCCTAGTACACTGGCTTAAAGCTCTCCAGGAGCCTGGTTCTCTTCACCCCATTCCTTGCCAGCTTCATAATCTAGTTTGACAGACGGCAAGGTCTGTGCCTCCTCTGTGATTCCCCAAAGGTGAGAAAAGGAGCCTGGAAAAGGATGCCTCATAGCAGGCTGGGCAGAACCAGAACAACCTGTGCTTCTGCCAAGGCCAGAGGCAGCTCAATGGCAAGACTGCAGGGAGGGAAGCAGCCTGGGGCTCATGCTCAGCCAGGGCTATGGCCTAAAATTCCAGCATTTTGACCTCATTCACTCCTTTGCTAGAGATTTTACCCCAGGTGAAATGCAGGCCCACCAGGGAGGGAGAACACACTAATCTTTTCTGCAGGAAGGAGTTTCAGGCCCTATCCTGACAGCAGGGTCTGAAAGGAACATGGGGCCAAGGAGACACCAACAACAAACTTATTTCCTTCAGAACTTTGGAAACTCAGCCTTGGGCTCAACCTATCTGGGTTCAAATCCCAGCCTCATGTGACGTATCAGCTACGTGACTTCAAGCAAAGGAGTCACTGCTCAGATCTTCAGTTTCCTCATCTGTAAAATGGGGATGGTAACATCTGCCTCACAGACTGTGGTGAGGATGAAATAAAATAATGTCTGTAGAGTACTTAACAGCACCTGGCACACAGGCAGTGCCCAAGAAATTGTAGCTATTTCCTGTTGTGATTTTTTTTCTTATTCAGGCAGCACAGAGAGTGACCCACTCCCCAATTTTGGTTGGCTTCAGACTCACCCTGCATATTCTCACAAATTACCCTGATTTCCTCGGGATTGCTCCAGGCCAAGCTGAGGGCTTAAACTGTCTGGGGTGGACAAGGGGAGAGATTTCAGGAGCTTCTGGAAACAGGATCCAGAGACAAATGAGGTCATAGGAGGGAGCTGTTTGAGGGCGGCGGTGGTATCCTGAGATGACCTCCTTGGCAAAGAGCCCCCAGGCCTTCATTCAGGCCTGCCTCCCCCACCCCCCACTGGAGACAGCGCTGGGTCTACATTGCCCACCTGACCCTTGCACCTGCTCCCAGGTGAGGAAGTGGCCCCTTGCACCATGACTCAGAGTGCTGTTACATCCTTTTTATCATGAACATCTCAGGTGATCCCTGGGATAAGGAAACAGAGGCAGTGACGGAGCTCAGGCTTAGGGCTTTTTGTCCTCGTCAACAGAAGGAACTTCCCACACCTGTCTGGATTTTTGGAGAATGAGACTACTGCAGTATAAGGAGGGGAGGGCCCCTGATGGGGTCCCTAAGGAGCAAGTGCACCCTCCTGTCCCCAAAAGTCCTGTACATTTCTGAGAACGAGATCAAACTCCAGTTACCTCAGGGATCCTTCCCGGAGTATACAATGTTCTTTCTCTGTACCCAGATATGTCTTCCCTTCTCCTCCCTGCCCCTCCCTTCCCTGCGAAAGGCAGTGGTATTCTTATCTGTTTGCAATTAATATTTAACATATTTTCAAGGCCACTGGTTTAGACCCAATATCCCTGTAACAAGGGTGGGTTGTCCTCCTTAGCACCCCCGGCCCCTTTGCCTCTCGGCGCCTATAACTCTCTGTCCTCGTGGTTGCTCCTCCCCTCTCCCCATGCTGTAAACAAGTCCACTTCCTGTTACTTGGCAAACTTGGCCAAAGGTTGACTATCTTCACCTTGCTTATTAACGAATAAACAACTTAACAGCTGGGCTATTATCAGCCAGGTAAGTGGGACGGGTGAGCCGCAGAGGTGTTTTATTAAAAGCCACAAATAGCTCTTCCAACTCACAGGACCCCTCAGCTCTCTACGCTCCCTCAGGGCAATGGGCATTCCAATTGCTCCAGGATTCTCTCAGAGTGGAGCCTGAGTGACTACGAGAGAGGGGAATGACATGTTCTGTGACCTTCCTCAGGCTGTGCCCCGTCCCCACTGAGGGGCCAGCACCAGGCTACGCGACCCCTAAGATCTCAGGTCTCCCAGGTAGTAGACTTGCCAAGGCAAGTCAGTGTCAGAGCTGGGCTGGAGGACTTGGCATTCCCGAGTCCTCGGCCCTGGCCTCTTACCAGGAATCTCCACCGCCCAGCCCAGCCCAGCCCCAAGAAGGGGGAATCTCCAAAGTGCCGCCTGCCTACCATGTTGCTTGGCAGTTCACATACTTTCTCTCATCTTCCTGTAAACCTTCCATGGTAGGTTGTATCACCGATAATTTGCCAAAGAGGAAAATGTGGCTCAGAGAGGTTGCTTGCTTGCTCTAGTTTCCCAAACTTGCCTGATTATTAGAATCCCCGGGGGAACTTACTAAAAATACAGCTTCCTCAGCCCCACCCCAGACCAGCTGAATACACAGCTCCAGGGGAGGAGCCCGAAATCTGTATTTTTAATAAATTCCTTTGGCAATTCTTATCAGACAAGTTGAGGAAACAGTGCCTTTATATTATAGCCTCAAATCACCTCCTTAGAGTTACCCCCTGGACAGAGAGTGGGGGAGCTACAAGGCTACTTAGGTGGTCCTTAACCCTGTGAAGCCTGCACACCCCATGATCCCCAAAGTCCTCTCCCCCCAGGAACATACATGGGTGGCCCTGAGTTTCCACCTAGAGAATAGGGCCAATGGGACTGGAGCCCCTCCAGAGTTCCCAGAGGGAACGACCTGTGTCCCTCCCAGTTCTGAGTGTCAGCCTGGACTAGGAGGCTGTGGCCAGATGGCACTACCAAGCCTTTTCCCCTGCTGCTATCCCCACCCCACATTCCAAACAATGGGACAGAAAAAAAAGCTGGCAGGAATGACCAGAGAAGTACAAACAGCCCCCCTGCCTCAGAAAATGGGCTCTGCTCCTGAAAGACATGCCTAAGCTGATCGTTGGAACTCAGATTACAGTTTCCAGTAAGAATAATGTCACAAACGGTTGGTTTACCAAAGCCTCTTATTATTATTAATTAATACATTGTTATAATCTACTTAATTACCTAATAATTTAGTATTAACATGTGCCAGTTGGGTCCTCCGGGAAACAGATGCTGAGATTGAATTAGGAGGACAAGCGGCTTATTGAGAGTGACGCCTGTCAGTGTTAAAGGGGGAGGAAGCAGCATGGGGCAGGGAAGCCTTCAGACCAGAACGCAGATTGGACAAAGTCTTGGCAACCCAGCCTGGAGCTCTAGAGCAAATTTTGCCTTGGAGGGGCCTTACGTTGGGAAGAAATTACCAGACTTTGTTACCCCTGCTGAAGGAGCCCTGGTGGTCCAGTGGTTAAGCACTCAGCTGATATTATAACCCAGAAGTCGGCAGTTCAAACCCACAAGCCACTCCGTGGGAGAAAGATGTGGCAGTCTGTTTCTATAAAGATTTACAGCCTTGGAAACTCTATGGGGCAGTTCTACTCTGTGCTGTAGGCTCTCTATGAGTCAGAATCAACTCGATGCCAATGGGTATTAGTACCCCTGTCGTGCTTATTGTCTGGGGCCTGCAGGAAGAGCATGGCCTCAAGGCAGATCCTGACATTGTTACTTAACTACACTGCAAGCTCTTTTTGGAAGGGAGATCCAAGGAGTGTGCCTCCTTGGCTGCCACACGTGTGAGAATTTATCGAGCGCTAGCTAGTGCCAAGTATCTAGCTAAGAGGGAGCATAAAACCAAAAAAGACATTGCTGTAGAGACCAAAGAAGAATTGATGGATTTGATTTAGGGGCTTGGCAAAGAATATTGAATATACCATAGACAGCCAGATGAATACACAAGTCTGTCTTGGAAGAAGTAAGGCCAGAGTGTTCCTTAGAAGCAAGGATGATGAGACTTTGTCTCACTTACGTTGGACATGTTATCAGGAGGGACCAGTCCCTGGAGAAGGACAATTGTACTTAGTAAAGTATAGGGTCAGCGAAAGAGAGGAAGACTTTCAACAAGATGGATTGATACACAGCTACAGCAATGGGCTCAAGCATAACAACGATTGTGAGGATGGCACAGGACCAGGCAGTGTTTCATTCTGTTGTTCATAGGGTCACTATGAGCTGGGGCTGTCTTGACGGCACCTAAGAACAACAACAATCTTTATGGAGGCAGACTGCCACATCTCTCTCCCGCAACTCGGCTGGTGGGTTCAAAGTGCCGACCTTTTGCCTAGTAGATGAGCGCTTAACCATTGTGCCACCGGGGCTCCTAGAGGCAGCATAGGGTGGTGCTCAGGGACACAGATTGTGGAGCCAAACTATCTAGGTTCAAATCTGACGTGATCAATAGTTGCGCCTCCATGAGCAAGTCCTTATGTATAAAAATGTGAAGATTAAATAAGTTGACATATGGAAAGTACATAGTAAGTGCTTGTCTTAGTTATCTAGTGCTGCTATAACAGAAATACCACAAGTGGAAGCTGTTTTGAAGCTGTGAATGGATAGAGGCTGGAAGAGTTTTAAAGTGCCTAATAATAAAAGCCTAAATTGCCTTGAAGAGACTATTGGTGGGATTATGGACATCAAAGACAATTCTGGTAAAGAATCAGAAAGAAATGAGGAGAGCTATTACACTGGAGACAGTGCAGATGGCAAGAAGCAGCAGCAGGACCAGGAGACAAGTGTGAGATAGTGCTAGAGCCAACCCACAGAGCTAGAGAGCTGAGTGCCTTCTGACTGAAGTTTACTGGCAGAGTGGGGTGCCTCCAGGCACTTATTGGTGGAGC